TATCCGAATAAAACATGCATTTTTGTGGAAAATTATGCGTATTTTTCCTTGAAATTTTCAGATATTTTAGATTAGATCGTGAAAAAAATTGATTGAAAAATTGGAGGAAAAATATTCACAATTTTCTCAGTAAATTCGGTTTTTCTTGAAGGAAATGTGGCAACGTCTGAAGGCTCATACAGCGTTCTTACTCAGCATGGCAATATACGAGAATGACTCAACGAGATAGAGCTCATCCAATGGAGACTCCTAGTCTTGGGTGGAAAATTTTACGGTGAGGAAAAAAAATGGATTAAACACATTCCCAGAACTGAGGAACTAGATGACATAAATGAATCGTGATTAGGTATTTTAAAGATACGAGAAGCTCCGAATATTCTAAGAATAATAGAGAGGCCTTATTTTACCCAGTTTTTACCGCTCAATGGATCTCCGAATTCAAAAGCGCTCGCCTTAAATTTCAATTTTTCAGGGTTAAATTCATACAAACATTTTCTAGGCAGACCCTCTCTCACGCGACAGGTATCACGCAAGACTAAGATCGCATTTCATTTTTCACGTGAATCTCATGAAATGTCTAAAAGTTTCTGAAATTTAATGAAAAATAGCCTGCTATAATTTATCAAAACTTCACGGGAAATGTTAAATTCTCATTATTCATGAAATTTTCAATCTCAATCCGGAGAACTTCTCCTTCAAATTTACCAACTCCCTCCCCCCCCCCTTTTCACCCGTTCGCTTTTTTCAAATTTTAGAGGAGCGAACTACGTCTCTCTGACATAAAAGGAACATCATGCAATGATCTTGGGCTATTGACCGAATTCTCAATCATCACAATGCAAATGCGTATAGTCGTAATCGATCCCAACTCAAAAGCGACTTGAAACCGAAATTTTTAAAAATTATTTTTATTTCGTTCTCCCTGATTTCACAATACTGGTTTTATGATCGATTACCGATCAACTGCAATGTCTCTGATCCCAATCACCACTCCGAATAGGTACGTAATCGGGGCTGTATTGCCGTGCTAATGAAGAACGCCGTATGAGCATTCGAGAGTTGCCACATTTACCTAGATAAAACATGTATTTTTGACGCAATTCCAGCATACTTTTCCTCGAAATTTTCAGATATTTTAGATTGAATCGGGTACGAAATTGTCTGAAAATTTTGGGGCAAAAATATTTACAATTTTCCCAATAAATTCGGTTTTTCTCGAGGGAAATTCGGCTGAAGGCTCATGCGACGTTCTTTCTTAGCACGGTAGTGTATAGGATGATTATAAATTGGATATGATTTCAAAGAAGGCCATTGCCATCTTTCTGGTCACTCAACTGCGTGATGGTTCGGACCTGAGGGAAGCGTCAGGAAAGAAGGCGAGTTCCCGAGACTTCACTTCATCGGGGTTCAGCGGCGAGTTATCGATATTTCCCTATTTGAGGCTGTGGTAAAGAATCGATTATTAAGTTGTCCGTTGCGAGCACCCTGTTTATCGATCCTTTTCCATAGGTTTACATGGCAGATCAATCGATACATCGCAAAGCACGCCATGCCACCGTCGGGGTTAGTAACACCATCCAAGAGTGGAAGAACGGGAACCAATCTCAGATAAGACCAAGGGTCAAGGTCGATACTTGTTTCGGTCCAAGTCCAACTGGTGAGGTGCGGTGGTGCATCCAGCCTCATACTTGCCGTTCACCTCTGTAGAGCCAACACTGACGGAATTAAGATGCTATTTTTCGAAATTCTTGCGCTCAAAATGATCGAATTTTCAGCCTAAGTGCCAAAATTCAGTTGGAAATAATATTTCCAGTCATCGCAAATTAATTTTTTGTATCTCCTGAAGAGTAATTATTTTAAGCCCAATTTACACTATCAAGCTTTTCATCCGACACAATTGAACGAAAATTCGGATGAAAAGTTGAACGCAAAAAAATTTGATTAAATCACTCTCCGTTCAACGTGACGTCACATTCAATTTTTCATCAAATTGTCGTTTCCTTGCATCAGTATCACACTAACCAACTTTTCATTACAAGTTTGCATTCAAGAGTTGAACGAACAGTTTGATAGTGTGACTTGGGCCTGAGCATTTGTGATATTCTTTCCGGAAGGGAATTTCGACAGACTATTGCCATGTCTGTGCCGCTCTCTGATTGGTTCCCAAGTGGGAGAATAGAAAACATCAAGAAAGGCTGTTTCCACTTGATCATGACATAACAAAACTGTAGACGCTGTTTTGAGAAAAAATGTGAGCATGTTGCCCCCCCCCCAAAAAAAAAACCCCTGTGCACATAGCTCGTGCGCTCAAACAGCTCCCATGTTCAGCTATCAAACCTGTGGGTTCATTGCACAGACGCATGATGGAGGAAGAAGAAAACTCCGTCTGGTTGATTGTCTCACGACAAATTAGCACTGATTCATAATTGCAACTCGCAAAGTCATCGAAAACGGGCCCGTGCGATCATTGGAGAGACAGCCGCTTACTGATTTTTTCAAATCAGCCAGCGCTAATGGTTTTTTATCATGCGGCTCCGTCGCGATAGCAGTCAGCCACGACTGATTTTCGATCAGAATATCATTACCAGGCCGTTGCTTTGTTTTGCAGCGAAATGAATTTACATTCATTAAGTTCTTTTGTGCTATGAGCAGGAGAAAGGAGAGAGCCTGCGCAAAATAACTGATTTGTCTGCATGCAAATCCAGAGTTCTATCATTGGAGGGTGCGGTGCACCTCAAAAGTCCTGCGGGGTGTCGGTAGCTGAATGTACATATATGCATGTAGCTTGTGTTCGGTGAAGGATTTTCCATACAGTAAGTACTCTCGCACTTCTGTGCGAGGGGCAGCGTTATTCTGCCGTGCTAAGGAAAAACGCCGTATGAGCCTTCAGGCGTTGACAAATTTCCCCTAGCAAACCACTAATTTTCAGGCAAAGTTTTGAATACATGTGATCCAATTTCTCAGATAATTTTGTTTGTAATTTGATCCAAAACGTCTGAAACTTTCAAGGAAAAATATTCATGATTTTTCTCAAAAAGAAACATTTTATCGAAGGAAATTTGGCAACTGTCGAATGTTCATACGGCGTTCTTCCTCAGCGCGGCAGTATTCAAGGGAAATAAATCGTCACCTTCCGGCCAAAGTATCACAAGTACCATGCAACGTTTAAAAATGTCCGCCTCCATTTTATTTTTTTACAGAGAAATTGTTCAACGAAGCTGTCCGAAAATTTCACTGAATTTTCTTTGTGCTGTGCAAGCTGAAAGGCTGAAATTTTCAAACCGATTCAACCAACAATATCTCGGTAGAAAAGTAAAAAGGCGGCGGGAATTGTTTAATGTCGCATGGCGCTTGTGAAACCTTGGCTGGAACGTGACGAAATTATGGGCGCCTTCTTTTAGCCTGGTAATGTCCGAGAGGACAATTTTTTTAGTAGGTCATCCATTTCTCGTAAAATCGTTCATAACCGTCCAAAAATTCTTGGATATTGTTCCAGTGATTCAAAATCCATAAATTTTATGAGAATGAGACTTATTAGTAAGTTTACAGTTTTATCACAAGCAAGACAGCCATATCGATGGTGAGAGTAATAAACCAAGCACATCAAGTTCGCAGGGGAATGTTGAGGAATATTTCCTCAAAAAATAAAACATAAGCGTCATTTGTGAACATTTCAATCGAAGATTGGTGGTTTCATTATCGATGTGTGCTATCTTTTACATTTTTGGGTGTTTACATTTTTACACACTTACTGGTTTGACACGACTCTCAATCTCTTAAAAATAAGATGAATTTTGCTGTTCTAGCGACATCAATTAATTTTCTTAAATAAGATTGGTTGAATTTTAAGAAAAACTTAAATTTAAAAATTTAAGCTTCACTCGCTGCTCCTTTTGGTTACACATCAGAGAGGTTTTAGCTCTACTAAGTCTCTTACGTTCTAAAAATAGGACATAGGATCGCAGGAGGAACGTTAGTTTGGCGCCTTATTTGAGTTAAAGAACATTTTTCGCCTTCATTTAGACGATTAGGCAAAAACAGATCCTAAACGTTCGAATAGCGGTATCGTCGGTGATCAATTTGCTCCATTCGCATTTACAAGACGGACAGCAGTCAGGTGAAATTTCGAGGCTACCATTTAAATCGGATAAAACATTCATTTTGAGTCTGTCAATTGACGCGTTACAGAGAGTAGAGCCTCTATTATTATTCTTGTTATACTGAGGATCGGAAACATTAACGTTGTGGCTTGATTTCTGNGGGGGGGGGGGGGGGGGGGGGTTGATGATGGAGATTGAAAGAGTCATAAGAGTCAGTCTAATACGAACTTTTAAAAATCAGGAACAGACTCGATCAATCTGTATACTAGATGAAGAAAAAAAAAACAAGACAAAAAAAAAAATAAAATAAAAACAAATGATTCCCTTCTCGCCGAACCATTTGAATAACCCAGTAAGATGTGGCCGCTCAATCTTACGGAGCAAATAATATCTCTGTTCGTTTATTTTTTGTCCACTATTTTTAGTTCATATTTCAGTGAGTAAACTTACTGAAAAAAAATTATAGCATTAATTTTGAATAAAAAAAATAATGATTTACTCTGTAATTCGTAAAATCAGTTAATAATTGGCGTTCCATATGAATAATGGAAGGATGCATATTGTTAAATACATTTTAGAGTGAGCCATACTCCAGTTAAGTAAAATTATAGCATCTGCAGTTGGCTGTGTTTATAATTCCTCGAACTAAAACTTTACTCTTCGTAATTGTGAATAACCAATCCTTTCATTCTAATAATGTAAAAAAACAATTTTAAGTATTACTGTAATCATTAATAAATTAATCAATTCGAAAATTACTAAAGCCAGGAACCAGTTTCCAAGAGCCAGTTTTGACTAGTATTTACTTGATGTCAATAATGTTATCTCGGTGCACATTAAAACCCTTGGAAAGGAATTGAGAAAGAGCCGTTGGTGTAAGAGCACTTAAAAAATACATACCGGCTTGGAAGCATTTCGGGAAAAAATCTAGCTATAATCAAACAACAACACTAGCGCGGAGAAGTCGGATCGTAAGACACCTTGTCCAGAGCACTGATGAAGGATGACTAAACACGTTACTGATTAGCCACGGCGGAGAGGTAGTCGCCGACAACGGGACGGAGGTGATAGCATACCGGTTTTGCTCCGGGAGTCAGTTTACCTCGTCTGTGGATACAAATACAAGATGAGGGGAGGGGCTTGGAGGACAAAGCTCATAACTGCAGTTTTTGAAAAAATGAAGTTGTTGCATGTGTGAGGGATTTGCGATTTGACCATGGATTCTTATGTAAAAGTTCGCGAGAAACACGATGGTGCCACTGGTTTTCTCTGAAATCACCTCCCAAGCTCAAAAAAAGCTCTCAAGTTGAGGCCAAAATGGAGGAGATATCCCACCCTACCCTGAGAGTCCACCTCTACATCAAGACAAACTCTCCATGCAAAGATAGGGAGCAAATATATAAGCAGGGTTGCCGTGTTTTCAGTTTTGGAGTCCCCAAAAAAAATGGCAGCCCTGTCAATGTATTTGCTCCCTATCTTTGCATGGAGAGTTTGTCTTGATGTAGAGGTGGACTCTCAGGGTAGGGTGGGATATCCCCTCCATTTTGGCCTCAACTTGAGAGCTTTTTTTGAGCTTGGGAGTTGATTTTCGTCGTTTCTTGTTTGTCTATGGCAAGGGAGTTGAGCCATGAGCCATTGCAGTCGAGGATGCCCAGACTACTTAGCATCTGACGACGGAAGAAAATGAAACGCAGTTACTAAAAATATCCCTCTGTACTGAAAATCTTGAAAAAAGCTAGAAATTTTCCAAGAAGTATACTTCTTTGAAAATTTAAGAAGAATTCTATAGTGCCCTAGCGTGTTTCTGAAAATCTATTCACCTTTTGCGAAATTTTTGATTAAATTTTTCACTTTTTCTTACGAAACAAGGGTTGCATGTGAATTCGTAGTGGTTTTTCACGGAAAACACGGGCCCCCTCCGGGGCCCGGGCTCCGCCACCAGGGACCCAGTATCCCCCCCTTGTGGCGGGCCTGCCTTCATGCACGCTGGGCTTGTCGATTTCCTCTGAAATTTTTGCAGTGGTGAATGCATAGCTGAAGTGCGCTTCAGCTTGAATTGTATTTACAAATGGGTGGTTTTTCTACGAGGATCAAAAATAAACGAGTGGTATGGAATATAACAAGAATATGAACTATGCAAAACGATAATCTGGGTATCGGAACTAAGCTGTTTTGAAAACGCCTTCAAATGCGGCGTGATACCTGACGCATTCCGGAGAGTTCAAATAGTTGTATCACTGCGCCGTATGAATTTGACTGAAGATTTAAATGGAAATAGCTTTCATGCAGGCTCGCCACATCCCATCTGGGGCCCTGGTACCAGTTTTAAGGTCCGGGCCCCAAGCACGGAGGGGGGGGGGTCCGAGGGACATCCCCCGAGAAATTTTAGAATTTATACGACTAATTGGACGCATTTTGAAGCTTCCATAGAGAATTTTTCCATCAATTTATGCGGAATAATTATGTTTTTTTTTCTACTTTCAGCACAAAATACTTGCGAATTGTTGCATTCAAAACATATGGAAAATTTTTATTTTTTTTTTTTGGGGGGGGGCATATGATACTATTTTCAGTTCTATGAGGGCCAGGCCCCCCTGGACTCCCCCTTCGTTTGTCCATGGCAAGGGAGTTGAGCCATGGGCCATTGTAGTCAAGGATACCCAGACTGGAGACTCTTAGCATCTGACGACGGAAGAAAATGAAACGCAGTTACTAAAAATATCCCTCTGTACTGAAAATCTTGAAAATAGCTATAAATTTTCCAAGAAGTATACTTCTTTGAAAATTTAAGAAGAATTCTATAGTGCCCTAGCGTGTTTCTGAAAATCTATTCACCTTTTGCGAAATTTTTTATTAAATTTTTCACTTTTTCTTACGAAACAAGGGTTGCATGTGATAATTCGTAGTGGTTTTTCACGGGTAATACAGGCCCCCTCCGGGGTCGGGGCCCCGAATCAGGGACCCAGTATCCCCCCCCCTTGTGGCGGGCCTGATTCAAGTTGAAAATAAAATGCACAGGTCGAGCTGTCATTGGTGTGTTTAGGAAAAAAGTGTCGTGTCATATTCAAGTTGAAAATAAAATGTGCAGGTCGAGTTGTTATTGGTGTGTAAAAGAAAAAAGTGTCGCGTGTTACCTATCTATTTCTGCAGAGGAATCTAGAGAATTGCTTCCTGAAATCTCCGACGAGTGAATTTGTCCTTGTTTTCAATGAAAAGTTAACACCTCGTTATTTTTCATAAGGGCTCCAGCGGATTGGAAATTTGGCGGGTAAAATCAGCCAATCAGAGACGACTCGTAAAAGTAGGGAGTGCCTCTCTGCTAGGAATTTATATTACGGCTCTTGTTTGAAGCACTAATAATGTCCCACTAAGATTTAAATAGTTGTGCCGTATACAAGTCATACCGTCCACAACCACGTATTGCTGATTTCCGGTGTGCGCGCAACTTGAGCGGTCCCCGCTAATTTGAAAATTGGCGCGTCAATTTGTATATTTTGCCGAGCGCGCCATAGAATTGGCGGGAACCAATGGGAATCGAAGGTTTCACAACAATTACCTAACCTAGAGTCCCTTTATACCCAGAGTAACGACAACTCGATTATCAGCTGACTGGCAGCCGACCTTGGCTGGCCATGGAGGCCGAAACTAGTGCACTCAAACGAACGATATTGGGGGATAAGGATCAGGAATCCTGCGATGTCTGTCACACAGAAACAACAACATCAACAAATTGATCAATTAAAAAGAAAATGAGATTGGTTTGTGAATAATTTCCTAATCTATTTTCATTTTGGACCGATGGCAATAACAATTTACTCTTGATAAACCACAATTAGGTAATATTTTCATTATTCTTGTTCACATACGAGGTACCGCCATCTTGGTGCACTAGTTTCGGCCTCCATGAGCGAGAACCAATCAGAATTGGATTTTTTTTTAGGCCACTTTCTGCCCAATCCTGGCCCAACCAAAAGTGAGTTGTCGTAACTCTGGGTATAAAGGGACTCTAACCTAACCTAGAAATGAACCTTATCACTTATCAGCTTTCGTTGTTCTGTTGTGAAATTGCAGTAATTTCTAACTTCTTCGGGTAATTATCAACTGGCAATCGACGCCAGTGTTTTTTCCTTCAATTTTTCAAGTGCCATTACATCACGGGGAAAATACGAGAGCTATTGTTAACATTAGCCTCGCATATGAGTGCTACTCAAAATGTTGCCATCAAGTTAAGCGATCAGTACAATGTAAGTTCAGATACGTTTTTACCATTACCTTAGAATGTTTGGATGTGTTCTAAACTAGGTATGCAACCTTACACGCTGATGAATCCTCTACTGAGCTTCAAAATGTTCTGACTCTACAGAAGTCGCAGACATCCATCATTGAAACAGTCCCCGCTGTCTCCTTGACATTCTGTGTTGTAGTTGAAACACTGCAAATATCTCCTCCCCAATCATTTGGTATTTACTCAGAGGCTAAGGCTATGTGGAAGCAGTTTTCCTTTGTACCACCGGTACACATTCATGGGTGAAGATTTTGACCGTAAGGAATGATGCATCAGGAGGACCTGGAACCCCTGCTTTAATAGAACTTGCGACTGATAAGTTGGTAGTTGTTTACTTTCCGTTGGCTAGTAATTATGATGCTGCCGCTTAATAGCAATCGAGGAGTGACCGACAGTGATGACTTTGCTGTGTGCCCAGATACCCCAAACCTATACCTTCCTCTGAGGGAATATATTGACGGCGTAAGTCTGCAATCATATAGCTCGTTGGCGGTGTCTGAAAATCTCCGCCTCTACGTTATTTTTTTAAAGGATAGATAACAAATTGACATCATTCATTGAAGTTTATGCAGAATTTTCTTCACACAGAGGAGAAAAATCACGGCAGTTTCAAAGAATTGCTGTTGAGTAGTTTTCCGTTTAAAATTAAAGTATGACAGGAAGTCTGCAATGTCGCAAACCGAGTTATGTGACTGCCGACTTACACCGTTGATAGCTAAAAGTATCCAATTTTTTTGTCAGTAAAAAGTAAACAACTGCCAACTTATCTGATATGAGCTCCATCTCTGTAAGCATCCACAGGGAAAGAGAATTATCAGTAGAAACACTAAGTCGAGCCATTCTTGCAGGAGTAAACTGAGTCCCAGTTACATTTAGTCCCAATCGTGATCTTGAGATCACCACTGAGATTGATTTTCAATTCTTTAAAACTGTACTGACAATGACAGTCATGAATCTGGTGAGACCAATGTTGGNGGGGGGGGGGGGGGGGGGGAGGGCAATATTTAAGAGAAAATTTTCTAATCACAGAAGCCTTGTACCTAAAGCACTTTTTTCTTCTCCTACAGGTTTATGATGATTTACATCTTCCAGTCAGTTCTTCCAAAAGCTCTGTTAAATCTACTTTGTGGTTCATTATCAACATGATCTGGGAATCACGTTTTCGCATTCCCACAGTGATAGTTCTTTGCATCATCGCTTTCATGTGTGGTGTGTACCAGGAAATACGTAGAGGAAGCATAGCTCGCCGACTCGCTCGACAGCAAGACAGTGGATGGGGAAATGATGACAGCGATGATGACAACGATGATGACGAAGATGACGATGATGATGATGGTGACGACTTGGATGATGATGGAAGTGGCGGTGAGTATGAATCTGATGAGGATGAAGGTGGTGAAGATATGTTGTTCTTTCCTGAGTCTATGTTCATCGATCCGGGCGTGAACCCTGAAAACGACACAGAACTTTTCAATTTTATTCGTCGTGAGAATCCAAGCTATGAGAGGAGTTTGATGAGACGTCAGCCATGGCCTAATGAGTTTCAGACAGAACTTGTTTTGTCAAGCTGCCCAAGAATAGGTAGTGCCTCATAATTTGACCTTAAGACTGAATCTATTTCCAAATCGAACATTTTATTTTTGTGAGATGTTAGAACGCTAGCTTAGAGTTAAATCTAAGCAAGGGATGTTCACAGTGTATCAATCAATTTCAAGAAACAAACTAGAATGAGTGATGAGTGGATAATGGAGGTATCATACCTATAATTCTAGCTCTGTTAACAACTTGAATGAATACTCCCTTTTCTTACATCCGAATTCTTAGAAGTTTGCTTGGAAATTTACCTTGTTTTAAGCTCTTTTTGTGATTAATATTTGTTTTTCTTATTTTTTCTCCTTTATTTTAAGTTACCACCCTTCGTGTAATAAGGCTGATCTTCATATTGTGTAACTTAACTCTGTTAAACTCATGGTAAATAAGTGAGGAACCTCTCCCAAATAATATGGTTATTTTTTGCACGGAACGGAGTAAGAATACATTGAATTAATGCATAAAATTAGAAGTTATTTATTTTGTTAGAATGTTATGGGAAAATTAACAATTAGAAAAGCTAATTAAGCCTCCTTTTCGTTTTTCTTCGTGCCATGATGAAGGCATATATTTAGAGGCCAGAAGTTTTAACTTTGAATTTTTCTGCGAGAATAACACATGTCCTCACGGAATATTTACCACAAGCAATAAAGTCCCAGTGTTTTAATACAAAAGAGGAAGGCGGTCTCTTTATAGGTAGCAGCAGCCCTGATAATGAAATATCTGATTTCATAGTAAACTTGTGAAAATATTAGTTTTTTGGCCGAATTTTTTTACAACCTACTGAAGCTGTATTTATCAGATCATGTGAATTTCTAGCCATGACATTCATTGTTTTCCTAGGTTAGCCTGTTGTATCAAAATATTAAATTAAAAAGTAGTTGAATTTAACAGAAGGGGAAATCTTGATCTAAGAAGACCTCGCTGTAGGCATCTAATCATAATACACTCTGAACTTATTGTTAGTTCTTGATTTCTTTAAGAACGGTCAAGATTCTCGTAGAAGCTCATGTCAACTTCAATTTTTTTCCCTTTCCAAATAGCATACTACAAAAATTATTCAATTTTTTTTCCCTTTCCAAATAGCATACTACAAAAATTGTTCAATTTTTGTGGCTCAGTTTGAGTTGAAACTTTTTTTATTAATGTAGAATTAAAAGTCAAGTACACATGAATCATACCAAGCAAAAACCAAATCACGGTATTGAATGATTTGGGAGTCATCATACATTTTTTTAATATTAGCTTTGAAGCGTTATAGATGTAAGTGCCCTTTTAGTCCCAGTTTCATACATGTAAAAATCTAGTTTGTTTTGTTATTTAGGTTATTTTTTTTTATTTGTTGAATTTGGACTGTGATAACTTATTCGAGATAATTCCCCATTATTCCCTGCTTTTTATTAAAGTAGGTATAGGTATTAGAACTGCACCTTGAAGAACGGGCAGTGTCAGCTCTCTCTTACTTAGAAACTGTGCCATTTTGCCCGTAGAAGCAAGGCTTCAATCGCTC